TATATATATATATATATATGGCTTCTCTCCCTTTCCACTGAAACTTTTAGTTAGGAGACCGCACCTGGGCAGCAATAGCAAAAAAAAAAGTAGGACTGAGCCCATCACATACATTCAATCCAATGGGCAAACACCATGACACATTGACTTGAATGTGTGTGTGTGAATCTCTAACATAACCAACCAACCAGCTCAGTACCTACCTACCAGTCCCCCAAAACACTGGCAAACTCTAGCCAAAACCAAATGTGTGTGTGTGTATTGTTGTGATGTTATGCAATTGGCATATATATATATATATATAATAAAAACCTGAGAAGCTTTAGCAGCCGTAAAACGTCGTAAACATATTTATTTATTTATTTTATTTTCGCGCGGATAGCCTACCTATCCCTATAACAATACATACCAGTGCTTTTTCGTCTCATCAAAAACAATTTGTGTGTATATATAAGCTTATATACCTTATATATATATATATATGTTTGTGCCCCCAATTTCATAGACAAACACACAGAAAATTTTTGAAAGCCACGATTTATTATTATTATTATTGCATAGTATTAATGATATACCGATTATTATTATTATTAACTAAAAAAAAATAAAATTATTTTTGTTGTTGTGTTTGATTGTCTGCTGTCAAACAATTCAAGCATAAAGTTTTTTTTGTGTGTCAAAAAAATGTTGTGTAAAAAAACTAAAATAACAAAAAAAACCAATTTTTAATGTGTGTCTCTCTCTSTATATATATTATATATAAGTTTATATGGAAAGTCTAGTTTTTTTTTGTTGGTGATGTTGTGTTTTTTTGTTGTTTAACTTTCACCAGCAGTCATCACACATACATCAAACATATAAATACAGGTATATATATTATCTACCGGACCTTTATATATATATGTGTCCCAAATAGTTTTGAAACACACATATATATATATAGTATGTATAGACAGTGGTGTATAAACAACAAGTAGTTGTGAAAATTGAAAATTATTTGATTTATATAATTGTTTTGTTTGTTTGTGTGTTTTGTTTTATTGTTGTATTTTATCATTACATCAAGTTTTATATATATACACACACATATATATATATATATATAATAAAACAAACAAGTTTTGTTGTTGAAAATATTTTAAACTTTTACTTTTGTATTATTATTATTATTATATTAAATATTATTAAATATAATAATAATATTTTATTTGGAAATTAAATTTCAACATCAAGTTTATCAAAATATTATTATTTTTTTAAACTAAAAGTATTTATTATTATTATTATTATTTGATTTATATTTTCTTTGTCACAACATATCGACATTAAATCAAGTTTTTTTGGTGGTTTAGTAATACAGTAATAATAATAATTTATAAAAGTTTATTGTTTTGTTAGTGTTATTGAAATTACAGACAAAATATTATTTTTGATATTTAGTTCTCATTATTATTATTATTATTATTATTATTATTATTATTATTATTATTATTATTATTATTATTATTATTATTATTATTATTATTATTATTATTATTATTATTATTATTATTATTATTATTATTATTATTATTATTATTATTATTATTATTATTATTATTATTATTATTATTATTAAATGATATATATATATATATATATATATATAATATATATAACTTATATATATATATATATATATATATATATATATATATATATATATATATATTTATATGATTGTTAAATATTAATACACACACACACATAATGTGTGTGTGTATGCGTGTGTATGTAATGTACTTATGTGTCTATTGCATGTGTGTGTATATATATGTGTGGACATACCTAAAACAGGTATACATGTGCTATGGCTGCTGCTGATGATGATGATGTTGATTGGCATCGGGTTTATTGTACTTGCATTTTGTTTTTTATTTTATTTTTTGATTTATTGATCAAATAATTTAACAAAACAACAAAACTAAACAACAACAAAAAAAAACTTATTACCAGTTTTTAGAAAAACTTTCTAATTTTTATTTTTTGTTTTTTTATTTTATATATATATATATATCATTGATGTGTTGTCGGTATTATAAAAATAMTACACAAACAAACAAAGAGAGAGAGAGAGAGAGAGAGAGAGAGAGAGACTAGACTTGTCTTTAATAAATATCTAATACTTTATTATATTGAAGACAAATATAAATAATAAAAATTGTATTTTTTATCACTTTTTTTTGTCTCACATTTTCTGTCCAATTAAATACCAGGACTTGAAAGTGAAAGAGAGAGAGAGAGAGAGAGAGAGAGAGAGAGAGAAAGTTAGTTAACTAACAAAAATTAAGGTATATATATATATAGCCATATATATATATATATATATATATATATATATATAGGAGGAATGGGTACCCAGTTAAGGATGTCCTCTAGCACTGGTAGCTCTCAATTTATTTGATGTTTTTTTTTGTTTGTGTGTGAATGTGTTTCTCACGCTATTTATATAATTTATATTACAGTATATATAATATATTATTTGTTCACTTGTCTCTGCCAACTGTTTTATATATATATATATATATATAATATATATATATAGTACAGTATATATCTATCATTAGGTGATTTCCTAAACTACTTTCTCTATTAGGGTCTCTCTCTCTCTCTCTCTCTCTCTCTCTCTCTCTCTCTCTGTCCTAAATGAGGCAAACATAGCATTATTATTATTATAGTATAATTCAATTGTATTTCAATGATTTTTTAAAAAGTGTTTTGCTTTCTCTCTCTCTCTCTCTCTCTCTCTCTCTCTCTCTCTCTCTCTTTCACTTTAGTCTCCCTATGAAAACACAATTTATCTGTAAATATACTGTAGATTTGATGCCTAATTTAATATCTCAGAGCTATACTGTTATAGTAGTGTTTATTATTATTATTATTATTATTTTAATGGCCAAAACATAACGATTCACGAGAGCATAACAAATATGAGATACAATTTTTTTTTTTTAATATCCAACTTTATATCATATATTTACTGTAAAATTATATATTTTTTTTGTTTGTTTATGTGTTTTATATCATCAACAGTGGAAAAATATTTATCAAATTAATTACTGTAAATAATTTCTATTATAAATTATATATATATATTAAAAATATGATATTTAATATACTGTACACTTTATATCAGTGAAATTTAAATCTTTTAAAATAAAAATTATTATTAACTTTTTTTTAGAAAGTTTTATATTTATAATATAATATAAGTTTTATATATAATATAATATTTTTTTTAATATTTTATATAAATTTTTATATAATATATATTAAATATAATACTATTATTATCATATTATTACCAGTATTATTATTCCCCATAGGATTTATTTATTTATTTAATGTATTATTAATATTATTATTATTATTATTATTATTAGAAAATTTTCTTAAATTACAAAAGCCATTAGCAAACTATAGGGAAAAAAATTATTTTTTTTGTTAAAAAATTAGAGATTTTTATTGGATAACAAATTTTATTTTATTTTTTTTTGTTGAATTATTATTGAATTTGTTTTCAAAAGTCTAGAGTTTTGATAAAAAAAAAATACAATATTTCAGAGAAAAACAATAAATTATATGATACTTGTATTATATATATATCTATATATTATATATAATGTCTCAGTGGGTATTGTATTAGTTATAAACTTTTAAAAATTATATATATATTGAATAATACATATACAAAAAAATAATAATAGTTTTATTTTTAACACACAAAAACAACCTTCACATCAAAAATATGTTATTAATTTTTTTCATACATACCGTACATATTGTATATCATTTTATAGTAGAGTACAGTATATACAGTATATATATAATACTATTAAATATAATATATATTTTTTAAAATATATTTTTTTTAATATACTCTCTCTCTCTCTCTCTCTTGTATTTTCAATTATAGTTTACCATTGAAAACATTTTTAAAAAAAATTATTATTATTATTTGATACAACATGTGTTGTGCAATAGGAAAGTGGGGTTTCAATATCGGGATATATTAATCATATATATATACAGTGTATTTGATAGATATTTTTAAACACACATAAAAAATATAACCGATTTTTTTGTTGCTGTTGTATAGTCACACACACACACACACACACACACTATAAGTAATAAAAAAATTTATTTTCTTAGAAAATAAAAGTATTATTTTAACTTCAATCAAAAAAAAWAAAAATAAAAAGTTATAAAACCTTGAGTTTATATATTGCCGTCAAACAAGCAACAAAAAAAATGGTCAAAATTTTTTTTTTTTTAGTCAATGATTATATGATATCAAGTATTTWTATATATATATACTGTATATAAAAGTGAAAACAATAATAAATTTTTTTACTATATATATATATATATATATAAAATAATATTTTTGTTTGAAAAGTATTACTTTTTTGCCCCAAAAAATAGTAGTCAAATCGGTATTTAATATCTGTATGTTTTTTATATATATATATGTGGGGGTATATAACAATATAATCATATATCAAATATATTTAACACACACACACAMACATTTATGATATAATAGACAATTTAATTTGATTATGATTACCCCATCAAAAAAAAAAACAAAACAATCGGTTTATAATAACAGTGTATATAMAGTATATACTGATAATAACTAAAAAATAAATAAATACATTAACAAAATTAAATTATTATATATAAAATTATATTATATTATATACACATAAGTATATAAGTATATAATAAGTTTCAATAATTATTAACAAGTTTTTTTGGTGTTTATTTAATTTTAATATTATTATTATTATTAAATTATTTATTATAATATTAAATATATTTTCTCTCCTTTTTTGTATATATATATATAAAAACCAATCCATCATCTGTTTTACGACTGGTCTGCCCACTACTACTACTACCACTACTACTACTAATCACTTGACATCCCTGAACAACAACAACAACACCAATAGCCGGCAAGTTTGGTACTACCCTATGAACTGCCGAGGAATGTACTAATAGAGAGGGCTAAGACACCATTGTGTAGTAGCCATCACGTTATACTCAACAACAACAACAATAAAGACAATAATACATCATCTGATGATCAATTGTTTGGTGGACACAACAACAACAACAACAACAATAGTCTTAAACGTCATCGTCAGCGACAGGTGCTGTTCTCSAGTACCGAAACTACCGATAGCTTTCCGTTTCTAAGGGATATCGGTATCGATGTCGACGGYATATATCAACGTCTAAACGATGATGACATCCTCGACGACGACAACAATGATGACATCCAGGTTGTCGACGATGAGACTGGCGGTAGTCATGATGATGATGATGGCGACCATACGTCCCGCGAAAACCCGTTGTACGGCCTTATATCGCCCGAAGAGCGTATGCAAGTCCTGTCCCAGGAGTTTCTTCCATCCAAATACATACCAATCGATGTTACCGGCGCTGCCTTTAATAGGATGTCCACAATGAGACGATCGCTTATACATGTAAGCAATTTGTGTTATTATTATTATTAKCTAATATGACATCCAAACTATATAAGCTTATATATATATTAAATGTTTATTTATATATAACATGACATACCTATGGTATCACCTAATAGTAATATCTACCGGTTCTATGGCTTATTAATACCTCCGTAAACCTAACCTCTAAAACCTATCTTGAAAATGCATTCAATTATAATCTCATTATAGCTTTTAATGTGTTTTTATCTTTAAAAAACAAATTTTGTTATTTAAAAAAGTTTATCTATCATTATATATATTATATACAGTAATACAGTATATTATTTATTAAAACAATTTAAATAATATACTATGATTTAAATAAAACATATTATTATTTATTTATTTAACTATTTATTTATTTTTATACATGTTTAACGTGTATATAAATTATTATTGATGTTTATGTCTATATTTTATATATATTAATACAAAACATAGACACAACATATACAGCATATAATAACTATTAAATATTTAGTTATTTTGACATTAGATTTATCTTATGTTTTTTGAAATTACTTAAAGAAAAACTAAAATAAAAGTTTAAACAAATTTTTTTAATTTATTTATTTGTTTTGTTGATGAAAATATAAATCCTCTTATAATATATACTTTTAAAAACTTTAAAAAACTAATTTTTTTAAGTTTTGAAATAATAATAATAACTATTTGTTTGTATAATAATTTATAAATAGTTTTATTTGATTTTATTTTTCCAGTATATTATATAATATGGTATTTACAGTATTATATCACATAAAATATATGCAGCAATCGTTTTAATGATACAAACAAACAAACAAAAAATAAAATACAAACAAAATATTTATTTAAATTATTATTTTATTTTTAATATACAACAAAAAAATTTTAGACGGATTTTCTAATTAAGCGCAAAAAGTCGACCGCCGGTAAAGGTGGCCACAAATCGCGGGTCCGGCGCCGCAATACTATAGCACAGGGAGGTCGAGAAGCAGCCGGTGGTGTCGGTGGTGTCGGTGCTGCTGGCGCTGGCCGTAGCGGTAGTGGCGGCGGTCATCGCCAACGGCGCCGAAGTACCAGTTCTATAGACTTTGTTCATACGTCCTGTCAGACAGAGTTTGGCGACGAATCGGATATTTACCGAACCGGACGTATTGTCGACCCGAAGACTAAGTCGGAGACGATGTCAAAGATAACATCGTCATCGGCGGCGACGACGACGACGACGATGACAACCATAACCAATGGTGACTATAATAACAATAATAAATGTGAGGATCAACTGCACCAGCAATCACAACAACAGGTAAACAATAAAATCAAACTGAAAGCCGAAGTACACCATCAATACGATTGCCGATCGTTGGATAATCTTAGCGATGACCAGATATCGTCGTCGCTGAGACACCAGTCGGTCGGATCCAATACACCCGAAGACTTTAGCGACTTAACTGAATCTAACGACAAGCTTATCGATGACGATAACAACAACAACGACACCAATCGCCACAATTTGATTGGTGTCCGCAATCTGAATAATACTACTGCCCGTCGGCTTAGTGTCCGTATGAGAGGCGGAGCCGCCGGTGCTAAGATCGGTACCAACAGTGATGGCCGATCGTCGAGCGGCAACTGGAGTGCCAGCAGTTCGACGCACGCCTCGGAATCGGTATCTTCGGATAATCTGCTGCTAAACGGCGGTAGTGTCGGTACCAGTAGTGGCCAACAGTCGCCATTAAAACACCACCATTTGCCCCATCAGTTGTCCAATAGTTCGCTGGGCAAGGATTCGGTTATTTCCGACAGCAATACCGCTCAGACGGCACAGACAACTGAATCGGAAACAACAACAACGACGACGACTGGCGGTCTGGTTTCGGCCTCAGAGTTTAGCTATGTTGTTGTTGGCGGCACGCAGTCACCAACGCCACCCGAACCCAGTGTCCGCAATTCGGTGGTTATCCGGACTCAGAACGGCGGCGGTACGATTGATGGCACCGCCGCCGCCGCCGGMAACAAAGCCAAGTACGCCAATCGGGATTCAGAATCGTGGTCACAGTTCTACGATCGCGACGACTCGGATACCATAACACCGACGCCAACCGAATCTACCGAAACAACAAGTGGACAGTTGTCAACAGAGACGACCCCACAAAAACCGCTGAAATCGGTAACCATTAATACCAGTCCGCCATCCAATGCAAGTAACTCTGTATGCGGCGGCGGCAATAGTAGTCGGCGATCAAGTATTTCGGCCAAAAACGGCGGTGCAATCGGTGACGATGAAGTCGAATCAGTCTATTCAGTGGACAACGACGGCTACTATACGTCAATGCATACCGATTCGGGACTGTTTCGGCTACCAATCAAACTGATGATTACGCCGAACAGTTCTTTCCGTTTGAAAGGCAAACGCGATTCAATTGCATCGGTTTGTACTATCGGTGACATCAGTATCAATAGTATACTATCGAAAACGGAAACCGAATCCTCAACGACAACACTGACCAACTTTAGCGGCCGCAGTAGTCTGAGTAGTAGTCGGCGGCGGCCACGTATGCCGCCGCCGCCACCACCGCCCCGAGTGTCCAGTATGTTACACAACATCAGGCACTCAATTATCAGTAACAAAACTACGACAACAACGACGACGGCCACTACCGATACTATTAGCGAAAATGCCAGCACTAGTTCCCGATCGCATTCGCCATCGCCCGGAACTGTAACCTCCGAATCGTCCGAACAGTCGGACTTTTTTGCCTCATCGGCCGTCCATACGTTGAAAGCCAAAACAGCGATCGACTCGAGCGGCTATCCATCCATGTGTGCAGCCATTACATCGACGGAAAACAGTGACGACTGTCGCAGTGGTAACAGTTCGGATAGCGGATCCATTGGCCACCATCAGCAACATCATCGTAATCATCGGATGACACCAACCAGGAAAATGTTACGATCAAAGTCCGGTACCTACAGAGGCTTTCGTATCAAAGATATCTTCGGTTTCGGTCATTCGGCCATCAAAGAAGATATTGCCGAACCTTCATCATCATCATCGCCGACTCTGACCAACGCCACTACACCGCCGCATATTGCAACCATACGGCGACCCCAGAGTCCGCTTCGGTTTAATATGTATACGGCCGGCGGTGATGGTGGTGGCCATCATCGGGTCCGGCGTTTTATCGATAAATTCAATGCCAATCAGTTCCACTTCCAGGACGATGAGGACGCCTATCATCRGACGCCGAACATTGTCCGCTTGAATGCCATCTCGTCGTTTGCCAACGATTCCAGTAGTGAAAAGATCTCAGAAGAAGTAGAAGATCCCGAACCAAATAGTACTACCATTGATGGTGATGGTCATGAAGACAAGCGCCACAGCACCGGTAGTGGTGGTAGTGGTGGTGGCGGCGATCATACATTCAAACCGATAGTCAGCAGCGGCGGTAACATTAGTAGTAGTAATAGTAGACCGCATATGAAATACAATTATCGCAAATGTTTGCCATCGACAGCAAAATCTGGTCTACAAAGACAACAACAACAACTACTACCGCATCCAATGCCAAGAAACGTGCCCATACCGCCAGTGCCCAAAACTAACGGTGCTATGATGTCGCCAACCGATTGGCTATCATCGGTACATCAAAACAACAGTAGTAGTAGTAGACCTCAACAACAAATAGTGCCCAAAACTAATACACTATCAAAGTTGTTATCTTCGGGTGCCATCACCACCACCACCGCCTCCTCAGTCGCGGCCAACACCTCCTCTTCCTCCTCAACAGCCATTATGACTACTAGTGATACACCAGACACCAGTGTTGTTCATCATACAAACTATCGGACCACTCGGTCGGCCGGTGCCCGGGTCCGACTGGATCCCGAAGGCGAAGTTATCTATTCGTCCAATTCGTTGGGTCGCCGACGGGACGGACATCCGATGAAATATCAGGAACGAGTGGACAGGACGGCGGCGAAAGCCTTGACAGTGGCCGCCTCTACAGCCATTGGTGGCCAACAACAACAACAACAGGAGCCGATGAGGAGCTCAACCCTACCGAGACTGTCATCAAAAACGCGTATCTCTAGTCCCAGTCCTACAACTAGTACTACTACTACTACACCATCATCGGTGGGGTCGGTGTCTAAACAAGGTTTGAAAAAAATACAGTTATTTTTTTTAATTTATTAAAAAATAAATAATAATTATAATTAGTTTTACTACAAAATAAATATTTTTTTTTATAATAATAACAAAATTTGTTTTTATAGATTATAATTACAATTATTATAATTTATAACTGTTTTTTTATTTTAGTTTTTATTTTAGTTTTTTTTATTAATTATTTTGTTGATTCGGTTACTAACAAAACTTTTTAATTTTTACAATTATAATATATATAATTGTAAAAATTAAGTTTTTTAATTTTTATTTTTTAATTTTAATTTACTATTTATATATTCACACACTGAATATATATATGATAAAACATGATTTTTAAAAAATTTAAAAAATAGTTTTAAAAAAAGTTTAACGCCGAAAACAACAACAAATAATAATAATAATAGGCTTTATCTATAGAGAAAGAGGGGGGCTATCATATACCTCCGGGTTATGGCATACACACACACACACACATAGATGTCCACCCCTTTTGCACAACTTTATTAATAGCCGTGAATTGCATTATCATTATATTAATAAACAACAACACAATATACAGGAAAAAACAACAACAAAACATTTATACATTTTTTTGCTTTATATATATACAGTATATTTAGATATATATATATATATATATATATATATTAATTTGTAAATATATAATAGTAACTACACTATATATATATATATATATATACAGTATATACTGTTTATATACATGTATAAAGTATAGAAATTTGCATAATTTTCTAATTATAAAAAGCAATTATCAAAAAATACATTCAATATATATATATACACATTATATACAGTATATGCATATATAAATAGTTAATTAGTTAATTTATAAATATTATTATTTTTAAAAAAAATTATTTTGAATTATTCAAATTTAATTTTTTTATTAATAATTTTTATTTTTTGACGTCAACACACACACACACACACACACACACACACATATATATATATATATATATATATATATATATATATATATATATATATATATATAAGTTTGTATATAAGTTTTATTTCATAGCAATTTATTTTTCATTTTTAAACTACCAAATTAGTTATGCTGTTATTATTATTATTATTATTATTATTGTATAGATAAATATAATAAATGGCCAAACACAACAACAATAAAAATGTGTGCATTTTATTTTTTTGTATTAATAATAAATTTTTGTATTTTAATTTTTTTTTTTTTGAAAAAATAATGGTTAGAAAAAAATCGTAAATTTTTGTTGTTGTTGTTTAATATTCTGGTCGATAAATATCAGGGATCGTCTCATATATATATATATATATATATATATATGTAAGACATGTGAAAAATATTTAATCTAAATAATAAATAGTTATATGTTTTTACTTAAAAAACATTCTCACATAAAATATATTTGTTTATATATGTTGTCCACTATTAGAGACAACTGGCATTAATTACAGTTTCCTTCATTCTAAGACATATTTACTTTACTTATAAAACCCTATATATCACAGAATATAATGTCAAATAAAAAGCACTTCCCGCGCGCTAATTGAAGCCAAATTTGATTTCAGAGTAAAGTATCTAATAATAAATCATAATTAATTGGTACCAAGTTTGCACGGTCAATACCCTCCAAGATATTACAGATAATGGTTAGGCCTTCCACTGTTGCATCAATACTTAGTACTCCAATGGAGTACTAATGCAACAACAAATCTGACTTTTGATTGGTAACTTCTATAGCAATACGCCTCAAACTAATTAAGTATAAAACCTATTGTCCATGAGATCACGGGATCAGATACTTGATTCAATAGAAGTGATCCACTCATTGACACCACTTATTACCCTATTTTAATACTTTATAAACTAATTGTGTTTTAATATTATAATATTATAATCATTGTATTTAATCCAATTGTTTTATTAGTTTAATAAAATATAAACTTATTTTAATCAATTAAATTGTCTCAAATTATTACCATCATCACCATCATCATCATCATCACCAACTAGTGGACTAGTGGTTAACATACGACTGCAACAAAACTTTTATTATATAATAATTATAACTTTTAAAAAACTGCTAGTCTTACATATATTATACAAGTATTATACATATTATACATATTATATATATATATATATATATATATATATATATATATGAGAGGCCTATCTTTTAATACCTTTAGTATGGGAAGTGGTGTCAAAAAAATAATACATAATAATAATAATAATAATAAAACTAAACATTCCCGTTGGGAATATTATATATATATATATATATATCATAATAAAAATTAATACAATTTTATCATTACTATAAAAATATCTACAAATATAAAAATGTTGTAATACATATATACATATATGTACATGTATATACAGTATATACTGTATATATTAATATATATCTAATAAAAATATCAATTTTGAAAATTGCTAACTAACTACTAACTATTAAAATACTAAATAATTTTTATATATATATATATATTTATATAAATCATTTTATTTAATTTAAATTACAAATTTATTTATTTATTTTTGTTGCTGTATCTCTCAATACAATTTATATATATATTTCAACCATCATTTTATTTTAAACGATTTTTGTGTATAATAATAATAATTATTATTATTATATGATATGATATTTGAATTACTAATACAAATAATGATGATATTGAGGATATCTCGGAAAATGTATTTATGATTTGAAACAAATAATAATAATAATCATCAAAAAAAAATTTTTGATTCAAAATATATAGATTGATATTTGAGATATAAATTGTTTTTTTTCAATAGTTAAGAGATATTTGATATTATTGTGTATATTATATATATATTTAACAACTAAAAAAACATAAATATGGTTAAACTAGTTATTATAAATAAAAATTGTTTTTTAATACTATAAGATATTAGTAGTATAGATAGCAACACAAAAAAATAAATAAATTACTATAAAAATAGTCTATTAAAACACTATAACCGCAAAAATAATTTTATAATAATAAATAAATTTATAATTTATTCATAATATACTGTATAATATTTAATGCAGTATAATATACAGTATTTTTTATGATACAATTATTTGATACACAAAAAACTAAACTTAAAAAAATTAAATGCAATTTTTTATGCATGACTTTTGAATTTAATGGACAGTTGAATATGACTTATAATTTTTTTTAAATAACTTATAAAGTGAAATATATATATATATATTTATATTTCACTTATAAGTATATACTGTATTTATATTTCAAATATGATTTTTTATCGCTAAATATAATCAAACATTTAAATAAAAAAAATATATTTTTACAATGATTTTTAAAGAGAGAGAGAGAGAGATTAGGATCAATTTATTTTGTTTGTTTGAATAGTTACCCATTATATTACTGTTATTTATATATATATATAGATAGTTATACATAATATATATATTATAATATAATTTACAATATATTATATAAATATATATATAAAAAATAAGTGTTTTTGTTAATACATCATAAATGTATTTAAAATATAACAAACAAATAAATAAAAAATATGTTAATCTTTTTTTTAAAAAAAATAATTTTAAATGTATTTTTCGTAAATAACATGAAAATTATTTAGATATTTAACTGATATTATATATATATATATATAATATTATATGAATTTATATCATATAACATATCATAAATATATTACAATAAAATTTTGTTTGTTTTTTAAAATAAAATGCTTATAAATAACTTATTCACTAAATAATTATTTGAAATAATCATATTTTGTGATAATATTTATTTTTATTTTTTATTTATTTTTTTGGACATTTCTAACATATTAATAACCTAAATAAATGAGTTAAAAAAACAATTTTATAATTTAAATATTATTCAAAAAAATAAAATAAAATAAAAATATAATTTAAATTATTATCATTGTCAATCCATTTAATTATTATTAGGGGAAAAAATACTAATTTAAATAATTAATATATATATATATATATAAACTGTATATTATTTGAAAACACCCTTTAAAATAAAATAAACTAAATTTATTTTATTTTATTTGCTAAATAATTACAAAAAATAATATTTCAATGTTCATGTTTGACATTTTTAAATATTTATTTTATTTTTATATTTTGTTAATTTTTTGTTTGTTTGTATATTTAAGTTAAACAAAACAAATTAAGCTTTTAATTTAATGGTAACCGTTATTTTATTTTATTTTTTGGGTGAATATTTAGTATATATATAGTATTTAAAAAAAACTTTTTAATAATAATAATAAATTTTATTTTAAGTATAATAATTATAGTGAATATTATTATATTATAGCTCTTGAGATAAATTATTGTAAAGAAATTATTTTATTTTATTATTATTTTTTTGATGATTATTCACAGTTTGAATATAATTTTTTTTATTGTTATCATAAAAAAAAAGTTTTTTTTTGTTATTATTTGTTATTCAAGATTTATTTATTTTTTAAATAAATACATATCTCTTTATTTAAAATAAAAATAGGTATTTAAAACTTTTTTTTAAATATATATATATATTTAGATTATTAATCGCTTTTTTGTTAATAGTTAAAAAAGCAATCGTTTTAATAATAGGTTTTTTAAAGATATTTTTTAAGTACTTATTAAGTATTATTTGTTAAATAATTTTTTTTGTTATAAAAAAATTTATGAATATTTAAATGCAAACAAAATTTTTTTGTTGTTGAAAAAATGCTTATATATTAAATACAGGTGTACTCATAGATATAGTAATAAATTAATTATTTATATATATTTATTCATATATTTTGCAATAAAGTTTAGTACAACACACACACACACAACAAAAATTAATAGTTTTAATTGTTACACATTTTTGATATTAATATTAATTAAAATTAATTTTTATTTTTATACAATAAATTATTTTCTTGGCTATTATTTTGCACAATTTAATTAATAATATAATTATTTTTACTATATATTTAGATTTATATATTTTTTGAATAAAATATTACAAATATTTAGACAATATATATATATATATATACTGTATATATATATAATAACATAATTATCACTAAACAAATATATGTATTGTGTGTTTAAACAACAAATAATGATAATAATAATAATATTATTATTATATAAATAATTTATTAAATATTTGATTGTTATCTAAATATTTGCTAATTCATCGCTAAATTTTTGGTTTTTTTTTTAAATTTTGTTTTTTTTTTGTTTTTTGAATGACTTCTAATTTAAGTCACATATTATTTTCATATAATTGCAAATATCATACAATAATAGCACATGTATTGTCTAAAAAAAATAAATAAATATTATCAGCAAAAATGTCAAATAAAACTATATATATATATTTATATACAATATATTATGTATTATTAATATATATAAACGGTATATACAAGAGATAAGACAAGAACCTGAGGAATAATAATATCATATAATAATAATAATAATAATACAAAATAATTATAAATAATTATATTAAACATAAATCTGAGGGTTGAATGCTCTCAACAAAACTTTTTGTTTTGTTTTTTACTTTATTTAATATCAGTGACAATAAAGAGATCTAATTAACAGATTATTTATATATAAATTTATCAAAACATTTCCTCTAAATACTAAATACTAAAATTATTTAATATATATATATATATATATATATATATATATATATATATAGTATATATGATATAATACCTGTATTTAATACCAATTATATGTGTATACCGTAACCAAACCTAATAATAGTTAGTACTGTAGTTATAATGTGAAACTAACTAAACAACAAAATTATATATAAATTTATATATACTGTATATATATATGTATATTAAAAAAAAAGTTTAGTCATTATAAACAATTGGTTTTAATTGTTGTATTAATTTTTTTCATTCATATATTAATATATATATATATTTCATATATTCTGTATATACAGGCGCTGTCGTACATATGAAAACCAATGGCACCAGTGGTCAGATCATAGCAAACACTACCACCGCCAGCACAGGTACTACCGGTGCTTATTCAGTGGACAGTAATCTAAGCCAACATAACAAAGTCATACGACCTCATCATCATCATCAGCAACAACAACAACAACAATATACCAGTTCTCTATTGCCGTTGGATAAGCTAAGCCAACACCAATCCCAGCACCAGCACCGAGATATCAGTTCAGCCAATAGTCAACAAAACAATGAGTCCACGGCCTCATTGCCAGCCAGAAGTAGTTCACGCGCCTCGTGCGCCACACCTGTCACTGTAAACAACAACAACAACATCAATAGCAGCCAACAACAACACCATCACCAGCACAGCCCCAATAGTAGTAGTAGCGGTGGTGGTAGATGTGTAACACCTGTAACCATCGTAAGGACCAACCGATCGACAACACCAACACCTGCTCCTGTATTACAGTCGATCAGCACATCTAACAGTGTTAGTGGTAGTAGTAGTAGTAGTAGTAGTAGTGGTGATAATCGGAACAGTTGTGTTCAACAACAACAACAAAAACTACTAACCAATGGACACCATTTGAATGAAACAATGAGAACAACTACAACTACTACCTGTCCATCATTAACAACAACAACACCAACAATCATTAACCGAAAACAATCGGATATTAATGGTTTGCCATCAAAACCGATAGTGAATGGCCATCATCATCATCAGCAGCAGCAGCAACATATCAAGCAAGCGGTCAATACAACTACGGCAACGTCGTCGGCACCGAAACCGGCCGAACGTATGTCGTTGGTGTTGTCGTCGCCGACAGCTATGGTATCGCCGAAAAACAATATGAAGACAACGACGACGGCTGTCAACGACAACAAGTCGACGGATAAATCGGATACCGACGGCGGCAGTGGCAACGGTAGTGGCGGTAACGGAACACTTGGACGCCGGGGTCGGCTGACCACCGAAGACCTGTTGATTATAATACACAACTCGAAGAAGAAGCACAACATCAAGACTGAACCGGAGATAATATTGCCGAACAGTCCGCCGTCCAGTCGGTCGCATTCGTCGGCGTCCAATTCGCCGCCACAATTGGCGTCACAACAACAATATAACGGTCGGTTTACGCCTAGCCTACAATCGCCTACCAGTCCTCCTAGTCGTCTAACACCGCAACCGCTACCTAATGTTGGCGGAGGCGGCGGAACAACACCCGACAACCAACGGCGCAGTTGGAACGGTTCGGATACAACGGGAACCACAAGTCCGACAGGCAGTCAGGCCGGTTCGCGTAGGAGTCTGGCATCGGATCGATTGGGACCGCCGAAACCGACCACAATGAACGACTTCAAGCGGCTACTGTCGCAGACCCGATCCAATAGTTTTACCAGCGATCGTATGACGGCAGCGGAAATATTGCGGGCCAATGCCAAACGTCCGCTAACACCGGTCATCAAATGTATTACTAGTTTTGTCGGCAGTGCTACCGGCGGCGGCAACAAAAATCGTGTAACGCCTTCACCGGCGCCTACGCCCACATCGCTGTTGACGCCCAACAAACTGTCGTCTACTAATCGGACGACGCCGACAATGGTCGGATCGCAGCCGCCGCCGCCGCCCATAATCAACTCGGCTATCAACTCGAATACACCGAATCTGGTTAAACCCCGTATCATCAATGGCCGTACCGGTGGTGGCGGCGGTAGTACCGGTAGAGGCCATCATCATCCGGCGTCCTATCGATTGGATAACGTTGTCTGTCAGCCAATACTGGAAGATTCGCGCGAAGATCTAACAGACGCCGATCGCCGATCGACAAAAAGTGGCCATTCGTTAGCGACAACAAACGGTTCGCATCATTCAATTAATAGCACCGGTAGCCGTGGTAATAGGCAATCGGCAATAACTGTTGCAAATAACTATAACAAAGTGCCGGCTAATCCCCAAAGTACTAGTACTTGGGTTTAAGCTATTTAGTAGTACAGTAGTGATGTTATTATTATTATAGTAATACTAGTAATACCCGTCCACCATGACATCCATGTCCATCATCATCATCATCATAGTTATCATCATCACCCACCCCCGCAATTAGTATCAACGTGTTAAGTGCACATACAAACAATACATATAAATACGGTATACATAACATACCGGAGCTTGTGTTCAATTTTTGTTACTATACTATACCTATCTATCTCTCTATCTATTTCTATATCCCTATCCATATCCCTGTCTCTCTCTCTCTCTCTCTCTCTCTCATCTCTATTCTCATAACATTTTTAAAAAATTTTTTTATAGTTATATTTATAAATATCATTAAAAACTTTTTTTTTATTAACAACAAAAAACAATTAACACATTTCTCATTGCATAATATAAACAACAACAACAACAAGAAAATTATTAAGTTATGATAATATACTGTAACTAAATATTAAGCTATTACTGTATATAATACAGTATTATATACAACACCAATATGTTTATCAACAACTAAACAAAAAAATTTTTTTTTTATTATTATGTTATGGGAAATCATATCATCAGCAAAAAAATCTATATATATATATATATACAGTATATATATATAGTAATAATGATAATAATAATAATTAATGATATCATAATTAATTGTATTGAGGATTGACTATGATTATGATGCGGTTCAAGTTCATCATATAATTAAACATATCTATAGTCTATCTATTGATAATATCAATACACATACCGTTCCCCATCACCATCAGTTATACCTATACATACCATTAGATATATATATATATATATATATATACATACTATAGATTTTTGTTTTGTTTTAATGGTTTTCAAAAAAAAAATTATGATTATTAATTGATAACAACAACAACAACTAAATATATATATATATATATATATAAAACAATCATTAATTACTATTATGTTTTATATAATAATTATTATTATTTAAAAAAAACAAGTATTCAGTTAATAACACCATTAGGTTATTATATAATGATATATAAATCCCATCCTATTTTTGTTGTGTATATTAAATGGGATGAAATTTTTTAAACAATTTTATTTTATATATATATATAAAGAGATTAAGAGAAAAAGCTATTTATATATATATATATATGTATCCAAAAAAAATTAACAAAAAAATTAGTTATTAATTAGGACTTCAAAAATTGCTGATTAAATAATTAATACCTTTTGGAAAAAATAAAAACATTTAATAATAAAAAAAATTTATTTGTGGGACACCAATAAATAATACTAATAATACTATTGATAATAATAATAAAATTATCGGTAATTTTTTTTATTGATAATAAAAATTATAAAAACAAAAAATCTGTATTTTTAAACAAAATACTTATAATATATTGTTAATAATAATATAGTAATAAGTATTTAAATAAATACAGATTTTAATCGTTTTTTTAAATAAATTTTTTGTTGTTGTATTGAAAATAATTTTTTTTATATTAGATAATAATAATTAACAAATGATTTATAAAGTAATTTTTGTATTTAAAATCTAAACTTTTAAATACATGAATAAATTACTTTATATATATATATAAACAATTTTTGAAAATAATTTTTTTATTAATATTATATCATTATTAATAGTATTGTTAACTAATATTTATGTGTGTGTTCCCAATAATAACTATTTATTTTTAAAAGTTTTTATTTAAAATATATATATATATATTATGTGTGTGTGTGTGTCCTAACAAAACAATTTTTTTTAAATAAAAAAATCTATGAAAACAAATTTAATAATAATATAATAATAATAGTTATAATAATAATAATACTATTTATGTTTCATTCATTTTCCTGTAAAAATAACTATTAAAACAAAATAATAATATTTTTATTTTGTATTATCTTTTAGCTCTCTCTCTCTCTCTCTCTCTCTCTCTCTCTCTCTCTCTCTCTCTCTCTCTCTCTCTCTCTAATGATTTAAAATTCAAATTATATATTTTTCCTCCAAAAAACAACAACAATAATACTAATAATAATAAATAAAATTGTTTTTTCTCTGGTTATCATAATATTTATGTTTCTCCACAAAAAATACTTATAAAAAAATATTTTGTATTATTTTTGTTGTTGTTTTGTTTATTTGTTTTTTAATTGTTATATAAAAAAAAGCTGAACCCATAATATTATAGTTATTTTTTTTTTGTTGGTAAACCCAAACCTACAACAAACAAACAAATAAAAAAAACTTAATTTGAATACTTGATTATATAATAGATAATTAAAAAGTTTTTTTTAATTATTATTTATAAAAAAAATAATAACATTTTTTTCTATATAAAAAAAATTTAGAAAAGTTTTTTATGTAATATAGAGTTGTTTATATATATATATATTAAATATATTATTATTAAACATTGAAAAATAAATATAAAAATTGAATATATATATATATTTTTGGTAATTATTAATTTATAGAAATTTTATTATTTATTTTATATATATTTAATTATTTAGTTAGTATTAATAGTATATATATATAGAGTAATTAACAATTAAATTGGATTTTTTAAAAAAAAAAGTATTTGTGTATATGTTTTACACACACACTGTAGTTATAATTAACAAATTTTTTTTTTAGATAAAAAAAATCTCAATTATATATATATACAAAATATTACTAACAATTTACAAACAATTTTTTGTATTTAAAAAATGTTTTCTAATTAAAAAAAATTGTATACAAATCTCATTATATATACAGTATATATATATATTTAAAACAAAAACAAAATGTTTGTCACTTATTTTGTACACATGTTTTTTTTAATTATGTATTTATACTATTATATATATATAATATTATATATTTTATAAATAAAATAAAAATCATTGTCTTTGAATAAAACATAACATTTGGTTTTTCAAAAAATAATTATTAATTTTTGTTGTTGTTTTTATTTATAATTAATTTTATTTATTATTATTATTATTATAAATAACTAATTATAATTACATAATTGAATACAGCAGCAAACTATAATGTATATAAATATTTAATAATAATAATAATAATAAATTATTTATTTATGGTAATTATAATTAAAATGATAGCAATAAAAAAAATAAAAACATCATCATTATTATTATTACTGTAATATTAAAATAATAACTAAAATATTAAAGTTAAATATCTCAATTAAAATAATTATAATAATAAAAAAATAAATAAAATATATATATATAAACTAAAAAGTTTAAACATAAATTTTATTAATATTATAAATATTATTAATTAATAGCATTTATACAAATTATTAAAAAACTAATTAAATATATATCAGATATATAAAAAAAATAATAAATAAACATTTTTTTTAAATAACAAATAACTTAATTATTATATACACATATATATTGAGATAGAAAAAAATATTTAAAATAATAATCATTAGTTAACATATTATTATTAAATTATTATTTAATCAATCAATCAATTATTACGTCAATAATAATCAATTCAATTGAAATCAATCAAAAATTCATGATTACATAAAAATTAATACTAATTAATATATATTAATAAATAGATCAATCAATAAAATAATAAAACAAACATTATATCTATTGATGATATATATATATACGGTATATATACTGTATATATATATAAATATCTGTATATATACTGTATATCAAGTGTCCAACAGTTGATACAAACCGATAATCACACAACTGGACAGCAATAGTGTACCGAAACTGATTA